GAGTGAGGTTGAGAATATAGGTCGAAAGTTTCTGTTGGAAATAAAAGAAATAAAGATAAACTTGATACAAATACCGATAATTGGTTTCATGATAAAATCTTATCGATGAATGTTAGCCAAAGTAAAATTTAAGTAACTTTTGGGAAAGTTGTCCGAAACGCATATTATCACGACGATGTAAAATGAACAGTAATCGCAAAGTCAAAGCCTTTTATTGTGTTATTATGAAAATTATAATTAACCGTCAGCTATGCGACTGGCTCACTTCAATATTCGCCAATTACTTCCTGAAGACCATCCAAATCTAAAAATTTTGAAAGCGTACGAGATTCTTGTGTATAATATGGCTTATCATATTACGATTGTTATACTTGCTAATATTAAATTATAAATTTACAGAGAGGAATGTTCTTTTCTCCATGCATTGGATCGATGGAGTTGACCACTTTGACAAGCCAATGCGTCTATACAACAAACCTTATTCATTTTGCAGGTTACTGTAATTTGTAACTCACATCCTTTTTATTATAATGTATTGGCCAGAACCGCGTCATAAGTCTGCAACAAAATATAGAATCTGCACTGAAATCTAGAAAGATGCTTATCGTGTGGTACTCAACACGTATTGTTTGTGCATCGCGCTAATATTAATAGAAAAACATTTGAATTTTACTTTTCTATTTTGTATCTTGTCATGAATAATTTGTTCTGTTGTGATGCTGTAATAAACCGCGGTAGAATTTTTTTAGCAAAAGTGATTGGCGACAAATTGTCACGCGCACGTGAAGTGTTTATCTATTACGGTACTAGCTCGAGCTTTTAAATCTACCTTGTATAAAAAATATTATCAAATATGCAATCTGAGTGAGAGAAATAAATTTGAAGCTCTTAGCCAAGATTACTAAACTTGTAGGAAAAAATGCCGAGTCAAGGCTGAGAATGTCGAAGTTAAAGTGAGAATGCAAAGTTGAAGCATGACTTGGAAGAACATGGAACTAGATTCACGGATCTAGAGCAAAGAGATAAAAGAAGACTAACATTATCACTAAATCAGATAATATTATTACGGAAATCAACAGGAGCAAATTACTATAAATTTTTCGGTTCAAGATGATACGTGCATACCGATATACGTGTTATGTCGTAGATTCGATCTCTCGCGGACATAGCTAAATTCGAAAATTCCTATATATCTGTGTAATCAGAGTATTATATTAACGGAATTCCGCAAATATAATTATTTGTATTTGTAGAAATGGAATCTCGCAGTTAGATATAGTGATAGTAAAAAATTAGTTATAGATATTTTCCGAAATGTGAGAAAGGCGAAGCCGCGTACTTTGATATACATATTCGAGCGTTAATATCATTAAAAATGTCATAAGTAATAACCACATATCAGCATTGAGAGTGTTCAGGAAGTCATTTTAATTTTAATTGGAAATATTAAATTATGGAATTTCCGTCGAGAAAGCATGTTTAATAGATCCCCTCATATGCCTACATACTGTGCCACACAAGTCAAAAGTCGTCACTGAATACCTTTAGGAAGAACGGGTCATATTTTTTCCCTACCCTACATAGTCTGGATCTGCCTACCATGTAATTCCTTTTTATTAAAGAAAAGGAAACTTGGTGGAAAGCGGTTTGAGAGGCTATAAATTTAATAGTCAATAGCATACTGCAGGAAGAAAATGCTGGGTGCTTTCAGCGTTGGCGTAGACGGCTGAGACATTGTATAGAGGTTAAAGGAGAGTATTTTGAAAGAATAATATGGTTAGATTAATATGTGTAATGGAAATAAAAGTTTTTATACGTCTTTGTGTCAAAACTTTGTGAACCGCCCACGTATACGTTTATCAATCTTATCGAAATGTTTGTTAAATGCTAAAATGCGGCTGCTCATCAAAAGTCGAGTTACATGAGCCTTTCAAACAAACCAGAGAGACTATACAATTAGCTCTCTTTATTAAGCCTTTTTTATAAGGATCTGATGCCTTATAAGGAGCACCTGTGCTGTGCTTTTCCAAACCATATTTTCTTAACGATACTACATTTGATACAACGACCGATTTTGCCTTGCCCGAGGCGGTAATTATATGACTGTAGACAGAGAAAACTTAAACAAGAATTATTTCATGCTATCTAATTACTTTATTATTAACATGGCAACATAACACTGTTATTAATTATGTTTCTTTTTCCGTCAATAAGAACTGGAGGCAATCAAGAATGTAAAATTTGGTGGAGGGAAAGAAAGAATATTTTTCGAGTAAAATACTGTAACTGTCCTTGGAATACTATCTGGAATACTAGTACCGATACTGTTACGTGAAATCCACATTAAATGCAAAGGCTCTACTGTACAATTCTACTGTTATTTTATTGTGACGTTAGTCGTGAATTATACAACTTGTCTCGAACTGGAATTTTTTGTCAATTTTAGAACGAATTTATTACATCACATTGTGTAGTGGAAATTTATCGTCTCCAATGTACTGCTTGTTTTCACAGGACTGATAGTAACGTGTTTAAAATCGTCGTCGTGTTGCCATCATACCTTTGAGACATGCTACAAAACCAATTTCAATATCTCCGCAGGGTCAAATATCGTTAGTTCTTTTAAGAATCGGTTGGAGCGATTAAGGTGATCGTTCCAACGGTAAAATCTTAATTCATTTAGCCACGAATATAGTAACTTTAATTTATCCGTCTGCAGCTGATTGCTGTATTTATGAGCGAAACATGCAAGATCCTTTTTTTTGCTAAAGCGTCAATAATAACGCTTTCTGCTTTTCTGCAGTTGCCGAGGAAAATGATATTTTGTAAAGGGTGGGCGATAGCGTAAGCTAATTACACACATAACCAATTAAAAAGTTTAATTACTTGTATGTGGATTAGAATCAATAATGGAAATGGAACAAGGAAAATGAGTATTGAGAAAAAAAAAACTAGCGGACTGAGCAGCAGAATGAACTTGGCTAACTGGAAACCAATTAAAAAGCCGAGAATAATAAGTTGCAGGAAAGCAATTGTCAAATTGAGTGGTTAGGGCTACAAAATCAATCTGCAACAATGAACCGATTGAGATAGCTTTCAAGCGAACTTTGAGAAATTCGCAAGGGTCATTAATAAATTAAAAAAGTTTAATTAAAAATGGCCGTAAAACGCAAATTTAGGTAGATTTATTCTATTTTTAAGCCGAACGCGCGAGCAAATCAAAAACTCGGAAAATCTGTAACACTTTGACTAATAATAATGCAAATTCGTCTCACCTGTCAGTATAACCCCCCGTACTGCTTTTTCTCATTTGTTTGTTTGTAGTCAAAGGTTGATTATATCCAACAAGGCATCCTTTTCTGGCAAGCGAAACCATAGAAATCGAACTGTAGTGAGAAAAAAGCTATTGGTGTACACAAGAAGAATAAACTTCATTATCAAGTAATTAAACGATCGTTTGCTTTGTTTTCTAATCGATTATGTAGTCATGCTTTATCGATGTTCGCTCCCAATGAATCTTTGTGGCTAGCATTATCTTTGTTACTTGCCTCACACCGTCTAATACGGTTCTCGATGGTTTGCTGACCGTATGCGAGTATATTAAAATATTCTATCTGTATGTTACATTCATTATAATCAACTCATTCAATCTCTCCACATTCCCACTCTCTTCTAAACGCAGGAAATAAGGTCCAGTTTCTACTTAAACTCGCATGCACATGAATAAACATCATGCAACGGAAGAAACCAGTATATTCGGCCCTACGTACAGCAATCGTGTAGAAAATCGGAAAGGGAAAACTGTCAGAAACTGTTGGGATTCGGTCAGTATTGGGTAACGTGGGAACAGAAAAGGATAATATCCTCGGTTAAGTGAATTGTTGGTGCTTGAAAAACTTTTCCTTGTTAAAAGCATATTGACAAACTCTTTCATAATACGTAATAATAATAATAATAATATTATTATTATTATTATCGAGTACTTTAATCTTAACTCGTCATTGTATAATTATTAAAGTAATGCTACTTATCGAGCAGTCACAGTATCACGCTTTTGATTGTAATACTAAATGCTATTACCCAAATCCGGCAACAACCTATCCGACAATTTTGGTATCAACTGATTACAACATATTATTTCTGTCGCATGACCTCCCAAATATGTAACAAGACTTTTCATTTATTCAAAAATACCAACAGACGATCATTGGTTGTTGACATGATAAAGTAAGAGCATGTTCGATTGTTATCACAGTCCGCGAGCATAAAGACGCACGTTCCCTCTCGTTGTTTGCGACAATATCACCAACCGCTATTGTCGAAACCTAAATTAGTATCTGCTGATGAATCCGTTGTCAGTCGCATAACATTCCTGCAATGTTGTGTATGTGTCCGGAACGTAAATGCTCTGAAAGATATTATTATTATTATTAATTAAGTGAAAGGACAAAATGGTTACGCCAAGTACAAACGCTTTCTACCTAATCTGGAACACCGACGAAGATTCGACTAGGCTGATCTGAGAAAAAAATTGATGCAGTGTGAAGATTACTGTACGAGTTATAAGCCCGCAGATCAAATCGAGCCCTTTTCTCTGTAAAGTTACTCTCTGGAATACAAAAACACCCAGTTTTCACATACGGCAAACAAGGAAAACTTTGTCCGTGAGATAAACTGGGGAAAGTGATACAGCACCTATGTAGTGGACGAATGGATTATTAATTTAAAGTTTGTTGTATGACTTGTTCCATTACATCACCTTGATCTTGTAAAACAACGAAAAATCCATAAAGACCCTCAATGCCGCAATCATTTTTTCCATACCGGTTTCATCTTCTCCTTTCTCAAACAGCAATACCTTCCTTCTTTATTCCTTGGTCCCCTACTCTTCTGTCATTACTGGCAAAGATTAAAAAATAAAAAAAGGTACTCAATCCGGTTTTGAAAAAAAAAAGACTTTTAAATCTACTCGATTCTCAACTTTACGCAAGAAAGAAGAAATGTCTGGGCCCGATAATTCTACAGCAGGAATTCCGCCTCCAATTCCAGTCTTCTGCGACTGGCGCATTGAAATCCGCGGATGTATTCTGTCACAGATCTGGGTGACTGAAGTTTCGATCTCTTTGGTTACCAATGCCATTCTGGCATTTACCGGCGCAGTCTTTTTCTATTATCGCCGAAGATATATGTGGCAAGGACTTTTCGTTGATCAATCTGGGGGAATCCGACCCTTACCAGTGGATTGTCTATTGTTATTCTGGGGGATATCTACAGTTTTGAGAGCACTTTATGCTCTTTTATTGTTGTTTGATGCATTCAGCGCGTATTGGCAGAGAGAGTTGCTGCAAGAATTAGGCTGGACTTTTCTCTGCTTTGGTGCCGCCGCTTATTTAATCGGTATGCGGGTGTTTCATATCATTATTTAATTTCTTGTGAGGGTTTGCGGTCATGTTCTAAATTGTTTTATATTCATATCTACTCTAGGCATCATCTACACAATTCCTGTGAGCTACACTCGAGGCTCGGACGCAATGATTTCTCTTGGATCCACCAAACGTTCTACCAACAATGGCGTTAACAACGACAAATCCAACACGCATGTCATCATCCTTCCCACTCCTGTTCAACTTAATTATATCCTCGGCGCCTACTTCTTATATCCTACTCTTATCATGCTTCCTGCAGCTGTGCTCTCTGGTGTGGGTAGGGATCAGGGAAATTTCGAGACGGCAGCCGCATGGACTACTGTACACTATGTTGCGTATTGGGTCTACGATTGGAGTGTGTCTCTAATTTCCGCTTATTATGGGATACACTTCATGCTCATCTTGAGGAGTTCAATGAACAACTTTGACAATCGAAGTGCTGGCGGTACGTACCATCAATCGAACAGTCCCACACGTCAAGCTTTCCATCGGTTGAAGTATACCATGGCATACCTCTTCTTCCTGTCATTCATCTCCGGGCCTGGCTGGGGTATGTACGGTATCAGATATATATCAATGGTCACTGGTCCCAACCTATACAGTTTGTTCATCTCTGGAACTTGGTATATCACCGGCCCTCAGCCTCTAATAGCTGTGTGTCAGTACGTGTTGGCAAAGAGAATCTACCAGCACTACATTGGCAAAAGTAAGAGTGCGAACAATATTACCGGATCAAGCGTTCAGTCAACAACTATTTCATCTAGGGCTCCTCCCGCCATGCAAGATGGTATTCTCATTACGCAAGAAATAGGTGTTGAGATGGACTTTGCACTCGATATGAAATCAGCGTCGGACAAGAACAAGCCAGACAAGAAGGGCAGCCAGGAGTTTGAGCTGATGAATAAGAGCGACACTGAGGATGGAAGAAGCGAAGATAATGTATAAACCGAACAGGCTGTTTGCAGATTTGGTTATTTGCATATTCGAGCATCTCAAAACATCATTCTTTGTAATTAGCACTACCGACTTCATATTTCTTTTTGCATTTTCATGTATAATAGCCAAAACACATCAACTCCAAGCAAAAAAAAAATCGTAGTTTTTTTATTTATTATATCCTATATAGACATTATATCGTTACAAATATACATAACACATAGAAAGAATCGGATACTATTTTTTTTCTTATTCGAATGCATTAAACTTTAATGCACTTACCTTTTCCGTAGTATTCGATCGAAATTCGGCAATTATTCGAATATTCAATAATCTGCCTGGTTTGTTTATTCCTTCTACCTACACATAAAATCAGTACTCTCTTTTATTTTCTTGCATTTTTTGTAGGTACTATTAACACTGGCTTCACAGAATTAGTAGCAAAGAAGTCTGATCATTGTAAAAATACATTGTAGTTAGACTCTTGCTTTTCGCTTTTAAATATACAAAACATTAAAGTGATAAATCGTGTCCAAAAAAAATGTGAATATTTTGATGTGAATGTTGTTGTGAGTAACGGTGATTGGACTTTCAACGTACTGCGAATTCTAATTATAATTACATATTCCGTGTTTCAAGTCTGTTCGACTGACTTTGCGTGTTACGAGTTGATATTTATGATGTGACCATTGAGCCAATACCGCCAGTTTAAAACGATTCGACTCTATGGATTCGGAATCCAAGCTATTTCCTTTCCTAACCTCAAGTCAATTAACAATTATATGTATGCACCAGAGTATCGAATTGTACAGTGCCAATACGCAGGTGCACGTTGAAAACTTTGGCATAATATTCGTGTTCACATACCAGATCACTTAATTTGAAATAATGGTAGACACTTTATTATCGTGTTACGGAATCGCAAGGAATACATAAATTCGACGGTCTACTTAACGTATAGTATGACACATTATTTGCGTTCATGTTTTGTCAATTATAAATTTACAGGGGCTATGTCTATGCACCTATACGCTTTTATTTCGTTCAATAGTTGGAATGTGGCCATGTGGTGACGACAAATAGTCAACTATCTTTGAAATTACCCATTATCAACGTGAGGTGGTGAGTAGAGTGCCTGAGCGAGAACATGATTTGGAGACAATATTGACCTAATCTCATCAGTAACGTCGTAATATGTTTACATGGGGATGAGGGGAGTACAGAGTAATAAAGCACAAGTGCAAATCGTTTGGCAGTGTGCTTCTTATAACACGTCATTGGTAAACTTGGTCGCATTAGATGTTACACATAATTATTGTTTCAAACATTATTTCAATGGCCATATTTAATATGTTGAACATAATAATAATAACAGCAACAACAGTAGCTCAAGGTTAAGAAATAAAAAGCCACAACCATAACAAATTTAACCTTTTGTGTATGTACTTATGATTGAATACCATTAAAACCACAGGGGTTTATGGAAATTACGACTACTCAAACCTTCCTTTTAGGCTAACGAGTTAATTAAATAGCGGCGGTAATTAATTATGTTTGTTTATTTGTTTGTTTGTTTATAATTTGATTGTTTGTAATGGTATTCTTTAATTGACAAATTATCTTCGAGTTGAAAGGACGCGAAAGAGACACCGCCCGCAACATTGACAAGTCAATATAACAATTCTCTCCCATATTTAATTTTGATAAAATGTAATTACCAATTTAATATATGTATTAATTATTCTGAAGCGTAACGCCGTCGCCATTAATAGTTGTCAATTATTTATATTATAATTCTTATAGCTGGCAATCAGGTATGTGCAATATAACTGCGCTCACTTACTTGGGCTCGCCCAGGGCTTATTTACTTGACGTCCGCTTTCCATATAAACGCCAAAACGTGTATATACAGAAGTCTATATTCACGGTAGGTTCAAGAGATATACCGTTATAATGATCGCTCACCAAGACATTGTGTAACGTGGGTATATTAAGCAAACTCACAATTAAAGATTTATCGGTCCATAATGAGGACAAAAAACCAGCAAAATACGGTAAGAAATCGAAAAGATTGGGACAAGTGCGACTTTCAGATATTTGTAAAGATTAATGTGCAGACGTAAAATCTGACCATTGCCCGGACGTTTTCATCTCCATAGTCACAACCTAAAATTGCGCCAATATTTTTCATACACGCAATACGGCGTTATTCTGAGCATAAGTACTGATGATATATATTAGAATATTGATATAGACAACGGCTTAAACTTAAAACTGTTCTTCCTTCAATTTACATTGTCCGAACCATAATAATAAGAGGACGTGAAGAACTTTGATCAATTATTTGCGCAAAAATTTTTATTTGTTTCTTTCTAAAGACGCGTGAACGAATCTACTTGTCAAGAAAATTACAAGCTGTACTCGCGAGTTGCTAATTAATTCGGTTAATAAAAACTGCTTGTTTATACCTATTGGCCAACCAAACGGCATATTAAGAGAACCCCTTAGGATATTGTAAAGACTATTGTAAGCTTTTTGAAAATTACTCGTTGGTTTGTACGTATGATGACTTTTTTTTTACCAAATCCATAATCATCAACTTTTCACGCGTTCCGCGCCCACGATTTGTTCACGTAATTTATGTTGATATACACAGTGGCTCTCTTTATAGTGGAGACACAGTTTTCTACACTATAACGAGCTATACACAAAAAAGAAATCTCACCATATAGTGTATTTAATAATATATCATGTG